AAGAGATTAAACTCACTTAAAGTCGAACTCGAACGTGATGGTAGTAGTTTCTGCTATAATTCTCCCACTGTCAACGCTATTCTCGTACTCGGATGAAATGCTAAAATTGAATAATACGCGTAAAGTAAGAGATATTTATAATATCGAAGATTAAGAACATTTTAATTAACATCTATTTGGGAAAAATAGTATTAGTCAGAAAAAGAATTTCGTTCAATTTCGTACTGGTTCTTATTACAGTCCATTCCGTTGTCCGCTTTAATATGTACTTTTACTACTCGATTGCTATAAAGATTATGTATATCCTAATTATGTTTTAAGTGTTTCAAGAATGTACAGCTATGAACATGTCAATTGGATGTTCTTGAATTACATTACAAGTTACAAAGCGTAAATATATTTTTATACACAAATACTTGATTAGCAGACTAAAGAAATAAAATGTAAATAATAAAATGAATAAATGTGGAACGAGTATTCCTTGAATATTTTGTATATTTTTCTATACTGCCTGTATATTGTGTTTGTTTTTGCACCTTCGAGTTTTCCATAAAAATCCGCAATCTACTGATTAGTTTACTTTTACTATTGAGCGGTTACATAATCTTTATTAAACGGTTGCAAAAATAAGAAAATTTCAAGAATTTTTTTGAAGATAAAATTATATTTCATTGAAAAAAATAATATGCACACGTCATTATATGTTGTTCAATTAATAATTGTTAAAAATTTGAACGAATGTAGGAGAACATGGTAGTCATGGCCGTTTCATCGAGAATCACCGTCTGCGATACCAAGTATATCTTCGTAAAGTTTTATCCAAAACAAATTTCTTTAATTTTACGTTAAATTGTACAAGAGAAGCTGGTACTTGTCGAAGTCGATTTTTAAAAAAATGACAGCTATCTAAACTTGAACGTGTAATTTTCGTTATAAATTTCCAACTATTAAACAATAGCCTTGAGAATGTTACCACAAATTTTTACTCACATTGACTCGGTAATCTTTCAAATATTTCTGATGCCACTTTTGAAAATTTCATTCCGAGAAAAATACTCCTTAAAGTTTCAGTTATCTGTTACCATTAGATACCGACACGAACTCTAAGTTAATTATTTTCTAAAATATTTTAATAATATTTCTGAATTTGTATAACAAGACATATATATGTATATATTATCTGTGGCACTTCTGCAATCACACATTCAGGAACATTCTTTTTATTTTTCCAATGTTTAAACGGATATCCTTAATTATTTTCCTTTCTTACATTTTTATCTTTAATTGTCTTCAATCTCGAATCATTCTGGTGAAGAAGGAGAGGGGCATCAGTCATTGAAATTTCTTGTTAATTGTAGGTAATTAATTACGCCATTATTACGCTAATTAATCTAAGTCAAGGTTACTACGACACAGGATCATCTTTTTCTTATACACTTCGTTTCTTATGTCCTATGTCTTTCATTCGTAGTTGCAGGTAAGCTGCAGTAACAATCAATCTTAGACGCCACGATTTCATTTCTTGCAAAACGAAAGCCTTTGCTACGCGAGATGAATTGCGTATTATATTTTCGTTGCAACGTGAAAACGGTTCCTTCTCCTAGCTACTCGATTTCCACTGTGCGGTTGTCTGTATATTTGCAATTTTCTAAAATTCCTCGAAATTAATTTCCGCAGTATGATATATATTTACCGTGAATGTAAATACACGCGCAATATATATTCGTGAAACGTGCTTGAGAATAATTTTGCTAAAAAGTTTGAATGGATGAATGTTATTTTCTTATACCATACTTGACGAAATGTATAATCTTTCATGCGACTTTGTATTCACTTGAATAACACGATCTCTCCAGATAGCTTTTGTTCGGGCGAGCAAACGAAGCATAAAATTCTGTTTTATATTGTGGGTATTCGTCGTATCAATCTTTGTTGAGTGACCTCATAATTCTAGCTTGTCTCCCGAATTTTATACCTGTTTGCTTTCGTTGATTCTCCAATTTGTACAATACGCAACCTTCTATCAATCACAAAGAAGAAAGATTTATATACATTTACTGTAGATAAAAACCGAAGAAATGCAGACGAGAGCTGAACAAAGATAAAAGTTTATGCCGAAAACATGTAATTTAACACATTTCTAGCATTACTTGTTAAATAACAATAACATTACCTGTGAAATATTTTTCTCAAAAGTATACCTCTCAATCACTGACAACTCTCTACTAATACGGCCATTGTTATTCAGCAGAAAATGTCAGGAACTTAACACCATATAACTTTAAAGGAAGATTATAAACAAAATATTAATATGCAAATAATTTTTACTATGTCACTGAACATACTGGACTACGTCATTGGATGCCCTTTCTTAAAATTTATTTATGTACGATCGCGCTATATCATTTCCGCCTAGTACACGCCTCCGAAAATTGATTGTTTTCTTCTCTATTTTTACCATCCTTTTCACGGCATTTTATACATTTACTTTTGATACAATTTGTATATTAATATAAAACTATAACTATTGTCGACATTATTAATATATTAATATACAACTATAACTATTATTTCCGCAATATTTTCAACAGGCAATAATTATGAAACTTTGCATATGGATGTGTTTTATTTTAATCGGAAAGTGCCGAGATGCAGTGCCGTAATTTCTCGCAGCACAGAATGTATATTAGTACTTAAAAACGGATTAATGTTCTACGGATGTGTTAAATACAACCGCCGATCATATCGAAATATTTATCATTGTTGCTGCATGTGTAATTTTATTTATAAATTGGAACAAATGTGTTATATCGAAGTTGAAAAGATTAATGATGAACTCGTGCCCCTTTAATTCATGTGGAGATATAATGTACGCACAATTGCACAGACAATTCGAAGAAAAACAATAAAAGCCAGCGGAAAATGTAAGAGACAAGAGGAGAATGATACGATGATTATTGAAAATCAACATACTTCATTCAGGGTTGTAACGTTGCTTTGCATATTTACGTGTTCAAGCGTCACCGTGTCATTAGTAACTTGACGAAAAAGCAGTATCTAAAGAAGATGCGTGTTATTTTGGTGCAATTAATTATAAAGATTATGAATCACTTCTCCATAACGATCTTAACGACTCTAATTTTTTGCGAGGCAATGTTTTTGGCAATTTGCAACGACGTAATGTCTACATAATGTTCATGTTTATTAAATTAGTATGGAATACGGTGGTGATATATGATATAAGATTTCATATCGCGAAACTTGTTTTAATAAATATCTTTATTCTATTGATATTTAATACCAACGTTTGGAACAACAATATTTATCCTCATAACATTTTTATTTAGAATAAAGAGAGACACAAGTGGGAAATTAATATGCAAGATTAACAGACATGTATAGACAATGAGAAGGAATGATTTAATGCTAGAACTACCGATTATCAAAGTAAAAAATAATAAAACCTTATAATAATAATAATAATAATAATAATAATAATAATAATA